GTAACCCGAGATTCCACTGTATACAATATATACTATATATTTTATTTAACTTTGTATCTATAATTACTTGATCTAGGTTGGCATATTTTACTTTTCTGTGTTACTTTTTAACTTTTCACTATCTAATGCTGCATTTATGAAAAAGGGTCACCAGTACCCCAAATGTTTCTTTGTGATCAGTGTTCTTCCTTTGCAATGTAACTCTACATGATGACATGTAATGAATTATCCCCACATTATGTCCTTTGGCATTTATTCATTATAGGCTAGAGAGAGACTTGAATGCAAGTACATTTGCAGACAGTATTAAACACCTCCATTTATTTCCTATTTTTATAGAAAGAACTTGAAAAGGTCTGGGGCGTGAAGGTTTTTGACAGATACACAATTGTCCTTCATATTTTCCGATGCAATGCTCAGACAAAGGAGGCAAAACTCCAGATAGCTTTAGCTGAACTCCCACTTCTAAGGTACACAAAATAGTATAAGTAATGTTAATGTCAACAAGATGGAAAATATACTTTCAGGTAATAATTAAAATAATAATATATAGCCTACTTGTGTCTTAGATTATATGTTTATACATACATACGACGTTTCACATAAGGAAGTTTAGATCATACATGGAAACCTGATTATTATAATTCCACTTAATAATATTTTGTTTTATTCCATGACTTTCTATTTGAAGATGTGTGTGTGTGAGAAAGAAAGAGAGAGAAAGAGCTTTTGCAAATCTTGAAATAGCTTGGCACATTTGTTTCAGGGCTAGTTCTCAATGTATTTCTCACATGTGAAAGCATCACTTGAATGTCAGTGTCCTCCAAAAATAGATTTTACTTCAAACCCCAACTCTATTTTAAGTTATTATGAATAATAACAACTTGCCACAATATATCTATTGTTAATTATAACTAGGGTTACAATTTTGTAACCAGAATTATATTATCAATTCATGTATTACTTTATGTATTAAATAATATTTATTTATGTATTGCTTTGGCTTAAATGCTGCTCTGCTCCATTTCCAAAGATTCCAAATGGCTTATAATTAACAACATTAAATTAAAATATTGGAACTCAGTAGCAGAACCCTAATAGCAACAAGGCCTTGATGTATCACCATTTGGGCAGCAAAATCTTTAGGTGTTGCCAAATATCTGAAGGTCTACATTTGTTGAAAGTAGTCGAGCTTAATTAGTATATTAGCTGAATCAGGGTTAATATGAAATTACCTTCAGTTAATCCATTCAAAGGCATAATTCTTTCTTTCTCTCTTTTCCCAGGACCAATGTGAGAAATGAAGTTGCTCAACTGGATCAGCAGAGAGGTGGCTCAAGATACATTATGGGATCAGGTAGTGTGAATAAATTGGAAAAGAAACTATCTCAATAACTGATGTACTGAGAATCAAAACAGTCACAAAATAACTTTTCTCATAAAAGAGGCTATAGATCTTTCACTTTATATCAAAATGATAACTGTATCTATTTACAAAGTATTTGACCTTGTATTTAATTCACATGCTTTTTTTTCTCTATGCAATAGCAAACATTCTTGTTAAAACCAAATCTAACAGATGAGGCAGGATCCTGTAGGTTGGGATAGTCTTGTAGTATTTGGCCATCTATATGCGTGGTCCTGAAAAACCAATTCAGAACTATGCTTCCATGTACTATGCATTTTTATGGAACTCTTCTTATAATGTTGGGCACATCTATATTAAAAATATTTGCTTGGATCTGGTTCTGTGGAGTCTCCAGGGAGAACTCTTAAGTAGGAACAAAAAAAGATCTATTACTCTTTCCATAGATTGTTGCTTATAAAAATGTATTAGTGCAAATGGGTTAAAGTTTAGAGATTGCCGTAGCTATGATATGTTGATGGCATAATTAGCCTTTGTTCATTTTATATGCTTAAGGAATACAGTTCTTCTGTGGTATTGTGTTTGATCAGCTTTTGAGTTCTTGATTCCTTCTAAAATTCTTGATTTCCATAGTATACATTCAGTTTTAATAATTATCAAAGTTTATAAGGTAGAATTTCAATGAAAGCATAAGGTTTTAAAAATATTATATAATTTTTGAGATTGGTCCCAGTGTTTATTTTAATTATTGTCAGAATTGCTGCAGCTCAGCATTGTGTCTCGTCATGTATTTATTTGCTCTCCTATAGTTAATGTAAATATAACAGGCTACTGTTGGCACCAAAGTATTGGCACCAAATATTATGATTCCTGCATTTTTATTTTTATAGGTACAAAAATAAAAATGCAGTAATCATAATATTCTCCTACTTTTATGTTTTTGACAGGTGAAACCTTCATGGAAATTCAGCTTCGTCTCTTAAAAGAAAAAGAAGTTAAAATTCGAAAGGCTCTACAGAAGCTCAAAAAAAATAGGAGTTTACTCAGAAAACAACGGAAGAAATGCGAGTTTCCAATTATTTCAGTAATGGGCTATACTAACTGTGGTAAGGACCATCGTACTGGAAATTCATGTAGACATATAAATGCCTTTGTACAGCAGAATGTTTAAATTTGTGGAAAGTACGATGTGTATGTGTTTATTTTTCCTAAAAATGCAGAATTACGCTCTAATTTGTTAGAAATAAGTCTTCCATATAGAATTCAGTGTTTCAATGCGTTATTTTTCCATTCTAAGTTGGTAGAAATTCACGAAGTTCAAAATAGAGGTTATGCCTGGTTGAAACAGTCAGGTGATGATGTAGACCAAAATTCAAATGTCCATATGGATTTTCAGCCCTGCAAATCATGTCCCTTTGAAAAACTTCATGTGGTATGGAGAGCTGAAATACAAAGGCAAAAAATTGTTAACTCTCTCTCCCTGTGTATGGAATCACGTTCTGCATACCTTAACAGCCCCTTGAAACCAGATGGGAAAATTGATACTAAAAGATGCAGTCATTTTGGACTTTGAATGCTGCTGGAAGGAAAGCTCAGTGTGAATTTCTTAGTACAACTTTGATAATTCTTAAAAATCAGTTTAGATGCTCACTGGGGGATTTCTTGATTGGAAAATGTGCATGCACATTCTAAATTGTAGTTATTTATAGCTGTTGCAGTCTTTTCCACCTAGAAGAGAACAGCAAAAACAAGCTTGTAAATCAGGAAGGAATTTCCCAATTTAAAGTAAATAACGTATGTCTTGAAACTAGAGACAGTGATGTAATATATGCATTCAGTAATGATTTTTTTATTGTCATTATTTATCCCTTTTAAAAAAAAGATTACATGAAGCAAACTGTTCAATTTATATCATTTCTGTCTTTATTTCTGTTAGGGAAAACCACTCTAATCAAGGCCCTCACCGGGGATGCAAAGTTACAGCCCCGAGATCAACTTTTTGCCACATTGGACATTACAGCTCATGCTGGCCATCTGCCATCTCGGTTGACTGTTCTATATGTTGATACTATTGGATTTCTTTCTCAGTTGCCCCACAATCTTGTTGAGTCATTTTCAGCTACATTAGAAGATGTAGCTTGCTCGGTAAGTACCACACCAGTCATATATTTAATTGTTCATTCATTTATTTTCCTACCATTCAAAAAAGAATAACAGGTCAGTTTCTAATTTAAGATGGAAATACAAAACATGCAAAGAAAATCAAATATATCATAAAAACATAAAAACAGTAGCAAAACATCACTTGGCAGAACTGAATGTGGCTTTTGAAAGACAGTAAGCATCTTTAGTTTAAGCTATGTTTCCGACTCATGCAGCTATACCAATAGTTCTATAATGTGTGCTTACTGTCAAGGAATTCAGAGCCTTTTATTCAACCACCTATAGAAGAAGCTAGGATTGCAGTATAGTTTCTATCATTTTGTAGCTAATAATTGACTTCCTGAGAGTCAGCATGATGTCGTTTTTAAGATGCTGGACTTGGAGAGAGAAGACCCAACTTCTAATCCTACCTTAGTCACAGAAGCCAGCTTGGTGACTTTGGGCCAATCACTGTCCCTCAGCTCTAGACTGGGAAGTTGAAAAACTTCTATCTACAACCTGCATTGGAGTAGTCTGATAGATTATGGCCCATAACTTTGAATGAAGAAGCCTTCATCCTGCAGTGGATTCACTTGGGCTGAATCATCACCATCACCATCATCATCGTTCGTTTCAGGCATAGATTTACACATTGTTTAGTAGAATGCTATCATGATGCCATCTTGAACTGACTTTGAACTACACCTTACTAGTTAGTCTAATGCAAATAATAACTGTGCAAGGATTGTTTGTATATTGGGACTTAAAAAAAAGAAAGATATACTGAACAACTTCCTAATTTTGACCTTAATTAGACTATTATGGAAATAGGTTTATGTAAGAAACCTGTCAGCACAACATCTTTTGAATAATGTTGGATTCATTCATTGGCATCAATTGTGTGAATTTGGCTTGGGGCAGAACTTGAGGTTAACATTTGGTTTTTACGATTTCTTTTTACTTTATGGTATTTTTGCAGCATTCAAGAAACATGCTAAATATCAGTTATCTAACATTCCTCCAGTATTGTTCAGGTTTAGTTTTGTACCTCATACAGTAATGCCTGCAGAAAATCTAGCTTTCTTTTCTTCCTATCAATAACTGAGTCATTTATACATATATTGTTATTTGCTGCTAGGATTTAATTATCCACGTGAGAGACATTAGTCATCCAGAAACCAACCTCCAGAAGAAAACTGTATTATCAGTTCTCAAGAATCTTAATCTTCCCAATCATCTACTTGAATCAATTATTGAAGTACATAACAAAGTGGATTTAATAGATAGGTAAGAGATAACCTAACTTTCAAAATGCTAGTGTAGTTTATGTTTGGCTATCTCAGTTCACAACAAATTAAACCTATAAGTATTTGGTTAAAATTGCTGTGTTGCTGATACCACAAGCTTACTGTTGAACTAGAAGAAGCAGAATGCCTTAACTTGTATCTAAAATTGTTTTCATTGAAGTGCACAGCAGGAATTTAATTAATCTGATTAATGAGTAATTTATTATTGGACAACATTACAATTTCTGAAGGATAGATTTTTTTAGCCTGAAGGTGCTTCTGGAATTGATACAGTCTGTGGAAGCATAAGTGATGCTGATAGCTAGGTATGCTATTTTGCTGGCTTTAGTTGGACGGATTGATTGATTGATTGATTGATTGATTGATTTAAATTTATATCTGCTGCATCCCTCTACAGGGAAAGAGCATTGGGTTGCATGGTGCATTTAAGACTTATTTAAAATAAACTTCTAGGATTCTACCCAGAGGGCCGAAGGTGGTAACAATCTGGGCTGGGTCTGGAATGGAAGAAACCAACTGAGCAGGTCTGAGGTGACTGTTATCTGTCTTCTTCCATCTCTCCATATGGCAGTTGGTGTAATGGTTCAGATTTTGAAGAGGGGAGCAGGGGGAAGAAGCAAAGACTCCAAATGAACATATACATGGCTCTTTCACCCTTCTGTCCTCTCTGGTACTTTTAAATTGTCTTCCAAACAAAATTCCCTTAGTATAGTGTTGACCAAACTTGGCCACTTTAAGATGAGTGGACTTCAACTCCCAGAATTCCCCAGCCCCCCACCCCTGCCCCTTGGGGTCTTGGTGGTTGTGATTAAACTAAAAAGACGCCAAGAAAGAGGAAAGTCATGAATGGTGATCAATATAATGT